CAAATCTAAATTCCCGTTACCAACTTAGCCACGAATATACGGAGACCCTCTGGCAGTGCCAAAGACACCATAATTCCATGTTTATCCTATATCTTTCCCATTATTTGTGCAGGTACATGGCAGTACAGCAGAAATTGAAAAACTGAAAAACCAAAAATGGCAATTGTATAAGCCAGACAGCCAAATTAAAACTTAAGAGATTAAAGGGGCTATATATCATGGCTACACTCGCATAATCACGACAGGCAATTCAACTAACTTATTCGCTCCCAAGCCTCATCACGATGCTCATGGGGCACGGGGCTTGGGGCACGGGGCTCGCGGCACGGGGCTTGGGGCTAAGACTAATCCAGCTGGGGTTTCGGGTTCGTGCACTGGAATCTGCTGACCTTTTGTGGCTTGAAGAGTATTCAGGTAGTGGCATAGCTTGACCAGACCAGACAGACAGCCTGTCACATCTCAATTGGCGCTTGACCAGAGAAATGGCAAAACACGAGGAGAGAGGAGGCTCTTGACACCAGCCTCAGTCTCTGCAACAAGTTGTACAAAGCTGATGCTCATGTTTTTGATGGTGCTCATGTTTCTGGTGTTGCTGGATACCGGCTGATGTTGCAGATTGTTGCAGATTACTGCCGATGATGCTGCCTGTGTCTCTGCTGCTACCTCTGCTGCTGCCTCTGCTGCTGGTCATGTTATCGCCAATGTTGTTGGTGCCGTTGCCACGCCTCCGGCTGGCCAGTGGTCTCTGTTGCAATTTCTGGTTTTGCTTACATAAAAATCAACAAAAAACATCAAAAAAGAAAGATTATCATTTTTCGGGAACTGCCGAAACACACATTTTTGTTGGCAGCTTTGTGGCACTTTAATGACTGAATCCGATCGAGAGGCGAACAAAAAAGTTGTGACTGTCATTAAGACGTTGTGACAACGAAACAAAACGAAATTGTTACACCACCTTTGCCTTTGATTCGTGCATACATTACATATTTATATGATATAGTGGTATATGTGGGGATCCATACTCGTAGCATTGATGGACTGTGGCGGTAGCGGCAGCGGCAGCATCTGGCTGGGACTCCGGTCACTTCCGTGCTCTCCGATCGGGTCACAGCTTGCGCAAGTTTCCGGCTCCTGCCGCCTGTTGGCCGCCATGGCCAAATGCGAATCACAATTCGAGCTTGTTTTGCCCGCAGTTCACTCTCGTTTTGGCTTTTACTTTTCGGTCTTCACTTTTACCTCCCGGATGGCTCGGCTTCCCAAACGAAAGCAAACTGCAAATCAACAATAGCAATAACAATAGCAATAGCAATGGCCATAATAAAAACCACTTGAGCGGTCAGCAGCAGCCAGCATATTCGGCATGGAAATGGGGAAGATTGGGTCGAAGGGTGGCCCCAGCCCAGCCACTAGTAGATCATATTCGGATTCGTTCGCAGTCGTAATCATTTCTAAAAAAAGACGTATGTATGCTTTTTTAATGACATAATTAGGCGTTGTTTCGAAAGGTGTTGCTCTTAACAGACCTCGAGAAGGGCGCTAAACGAGGGAGCTGCGCTCCACTAAATCATTTAACTGCCACTCAGACAGACAGAAAAACCAAAACCAAAACCAAAACCAAAAAAAGACCGGGTCACCGCCCAGCCTTATTGATTTGACCCGACCGAGGCGCAGACTTTCACTCAATGCAACCGCAATCGGAGCTGGAGACGGAGTCGGAGTCGGAGTCAGAGTCGTTCATGTTTGTCGTGATTCGCACTCCTGGGCATGCCTGAGAGCAGGCATGTCTGATCGCATAGCATGTACACAGGTACGTAGATCCATACACATATACAGTGTTTATTTTAATTCCTAATTTGGAATTACCGAGACGACGCATTCCGTGCTGCACTGCCTGAGATATCATGATTGCATTCGGTTGTTTGTTTCTCTTTTTTTTTTTTGTACGATATGATGCTGGGTGATGTCATCCGTTCCCAGGCACGGATGGCCAATTCGGGAGCTTTGGGAGCAGCACAGATCCGGAGGCGAGCAACGAAATCAATTTTATGTAATTATGTAACTGTTGCTGTCGGCCCCAAAGACGGACGCCGACTCTGATCATCAATCAGTTGGAGGGCTCATCATTAGCTCACATCTCATCGAAACGTCACACACGAAACGGAGATGCGATCAAATATCCAAAAGATACTCACAGTGCTGAGGTGAGTGATGGCTGGACAAGGCCGAAGTATTGATAGGGACCCACAGAAAAGCTCCAGAAATGAGTTTGCAGCATGGAAAGGTGGCGGCGTGCAACATTTCTAGTACAATAAATGGGAGTATCCCGCACTTAAGCGACACTAAAATCGAAACGTGTGGTTTTGTCGCATTAATAGCACTGTTGAGCTACTGAGCTTTGTTTGAGATCTACAGAGCCGAAGGGATACCGAAGGTTCTCGCTAGATTTACGACGAGAGGATGGCGAGTCTCTTGGCTAATTAGCTCGATCGGTGAACTATTCGGAATGCAAAAGCAATAAGAGAGTGCTATGTCCAGACTAAATTCAAGGGCATGGCGGCCCTAATGGAAGCGAGAGCGCGTCACAACGAGAAAGCGATGGAAAGAAAGAAAGACGCCAGAGAACGGCTGCATAGGCTGGTCCGCTCCCGCAACGCGCTCTCTTTTCGGGTCTTATTTTGTTCAGTACGGCGGAAAGCTTCGTTCTTCTCTCTCTCATCAAATATGGCTTCAAAGCGCTCTTAGTGGTGCTGAGCGTAAAATAAGACCCGAAAGAGAGTTAGCGGACCACCTTGTATAATTTCATAATGCATATACGAATATCTATGTTTGTACATTACAATGTGGTTCAATCCAAACAGTGCCATACAAACAAACAATAATATGGATTTACATTACTGCTGGACCACTGGCTATAATCTATGAAGTATTGGGTAATATTGTTTAGGACTAGATTGGGATGTTAAGACAATGATGATCTAGATCTTCGACTGAATATAGTTAAGGGTCAACTTGTTCCAAGGAAGTACAATGTGATGTCGGAACCGTACTTTATCTGTTCGATTGAGGGTATCTATTATTACGTTACCTCACGTTAAGTGACGAATACACGTATAATATCAGAGCTTCTTCAGTTATTAATTTAGATCAAAGGCTGCTGTTAACCCACAATAGCAGACGCGAAGATCGCACTCCGATCATGCCTTCCTGTTGTGGACACCTGCAAAGCAAGTCACCAACCAAATGGATAACAATTTGAGCTGAAATTGATGGCGAGCGAGTACGTTCAACCTACAGCTGGCTACAGCTGGCAATGCCTGCCGGTGCCACTTCCATTTCCATTTCCACTTGTTAGCCAAGTTTATTGTCGATCCATTAGCGTTGTATTGCTGCGAGCCATTCCATTTGATTTCGAGAGCAAATGCCAATCGGCAGCCCCGATCCCCATTCAAAGCCCCAGCCAAATAAAAGTTCAATGGCTACAAAGGCGAACTCATCTTGGAAAATTGATTTGCAGTTTGCTTGATTGCCAGGCATCAGGCACCACCTTGGTGGCATTCATTTTCAATGGCTTCTTGCTCCTCCTCCTGCAGGCTCCATCTCCGTTAGACCGCGGACAGGCACCCAAATTGCTTTTAGCTTAATGAAGCTGCCACCACTTGCAGCAACAGTGATTTCCAGCAATAGCCATTGATGAATTGCAAGTCTTGCGGTTGCCGCGTCCGCATGGAATGCGCACACTTTGTCTTTTGTCGAGGACACGTTGGCCACCACACGTCTTGGCGCAGCCATCCATGGCAATATGGTGAAACAGTTGGATATTTTGGCCTTACGTGCAACTTATATACTGGGTGTATGGCGCATAGCAATAGCCATGGAGAAATGGTAAATTGATTCTAGTCCGGGCCAACCTACCATAGATATTCTTAGGTTGAAAAACACCCAAGAACTGGAGGCTTTTAGTGAGTATTTTAGTGCGTATGTGCGTATCATATATCGGTACCAATGAGACTGGATATGGGTATGTGAGGGCCGTGGCACCGCTCTAGAGACCTTATGATTTAATTGGCCAGATAAAAGTGTGGCTTATGTAGAGTCAGAACAAATCAACACACAATACCCAACCAATACTCGTATCGAGGCTGACTTTCGCTTTCGTCATTTGGAATTTGAACAATGGAATCTATTCTATTGGAAAGAATGCCTCAATATTTTCTCTGCGGTGTCCAATGAATTCGTTGATGAATAGCAAACAGACGGAATGGAATAAGTCTCCATTGAACGCTTTGTATAGCAGAATCCGACGAGGGTCGAGGGCAGGGCTGATTGGTATGGGATTGGTAATGCTCTCCCTGGCGGGGCCCATTGGCAGGCAGACGAATCTAAATAGCAGCAGCAAACAACAAAAAACACCAAAATATAACATTAATTTCACTTTCTTTGCAGCAAGTTGAAGCGTTGTTGTAATTGCTGTTGTTGCTGCCACTGCTGCACGCTCCGGTGTCTTTGTACCCCCCCATTGTTGTGGCAGCGACAAGACAAGATCCAAAGCTGGGCGGCTGCCTCAGGTTTATTGACTGCGCGTCGTCTATGCAATTAACTTAAAGTTTTTTTTCCTTCTCTTGTTTGCGCCTCAATGGGCCGCAGTCGGTCCGACCGACCAGGGGCAGCCAGGTGGGGCAGGTGTGGCAGGTGGGGCAGGTGTGACGGAGACTGACTGAACCGAAACATAAGCATCAGCTGCCTGAACAATTTTTTATAGGCTGAGCTTTTCAGAGGCAGCTGCCAGCTGGCATGGCATGGCCCAATGCACCGGAGGGCAGCAACACCCATCTGACACTGACACTGACACTGAGACTGAGACTGGGACTGACTCTAAGGAGGCGTCTCGAGCCACTTGTGGCACACATATTTTCACCCAGCAATTAGGCTGTTGCCCCATGCCCCACTCCATGAACGGTGCAATCAATAACGAGCACATATTTTGTTGCTTTATTTTCAATTCAATTCAATAATACATTAATAAACTCACAGATATTTCACAAGATTGTGTCCCTGTTTATCCAGTTTTTTTTTCAGTTACGTTACAACAATTTAAAGAGTTCTTTTCGGGAAAGACAGTTGTTGGAATGCTTCAATGTCTGCTTGTTTACTTGGTGTACATTTGGAGTTTAAAATAGCCTCAGCTTCAATTATTGAAGCGAAAATGTTCTACTACATGTATAATTATGTTATATGTACTTGGAAATTGATTAAATCAATTCCGTAATTTAAATCGGACGTTTTTTGAGAGAGCACAGTCATCTCGTAATGTGTATAATCGAAAAAAAAATGATTTATTACTGATGTAACTGAATTAATAATTAAGGTCTCTTTGACTCTTTTTGGGACAAACAAGAAGATACTAACATATTTAGATATTCATGCAATGCAGAATGTTATCAAATCAAATGTGTGTGGGACGTGAAATTGCAGACAAAATGAACGATAGTTTTGCAATTAAGTGTACAAATAATAGAACGAGTCAGTCTTAATCGAAAAAAAAATATCACAGAAACTAAACATACGTGACTTAGTTGAGGGCCATGGTGCCCTCATCGACACTCAACAAAGAAAGGGCTATGTCTGGGCCAACATATAGATCCACACGACGCATCATCAACATTTTGTCCAGCTCGCGCTTCATTAGCATGCGCAGATTGATCAGTTGCTCTCCAAACATCGGGTGCATAGAGATGCGTACCCAGTGGTCAATACAAAGTTGCCCCTTGGGGGCGGTGTCCAGCAAGCCGAGGCTGCTGCTTGGTCTCTGTGCCATCTTGAGCACCTTTCCACCGGCGATGGCCACATGAAGGGTGCTGACCAAGCTGGTTTGCTCCAGCGACGATTTGGAGTCGGAGACACGTGACTTCTCCACGTACAGTACCCACTCGCTGGCCAGGGTCCTCGTCTTCTTTTTGCCCAGCAAGCAGGAGGTGCGGGAGACAAGTACGTTGGGATCGCACTCGGACACAAGCTCGTTCTTGTTGTGGTCATAATAGGCCAGATTGGGGTAGAGTCCAGCTGTGAGGGCCAGCCGAAGCATGTTGTTGTTTCTGTCATTGGCGCTGGCTTGGCGCCTGGTGGTCTGATTTAGCTTAAAAATTCTGGTAACAGAGTCCCGAAGCGTTAGCACGGCCGAAAAAAACATGGCCATGGATTTGGAACAAAGATAGTTGCGCTCACAGAACTGGGTCACGTCCCTGGGGCTGTTTCGGGAAGCTTCCGTGTATTGCTGGAAGAGACTTATCATTCCGATCAAATCGCTGTTGATGCCCTCGGTGAATTTGAGGCGCGCCTCTTGCGTTTGATAGCTCCTCCTTCGATCAACGGGCAGAAAGAAGGGATCACGGATGGAGTGGTAGGCAGCAATGATGATCATGCTGCCCAGACAGCGATAGTATGCCGCGTATACCACGCACTTAGCCATCTGCACGCTCAATGGCAGCTCCGCAATGATCCGGCCAAGCATGGTGATCGACTCGTCCCCGTCGTGCAGCACGCCCAACAACTTGAGCCGCGAACAGGCCTGATTGACGGCCTCCGGCTGCGGTGCATCCAGGGCCTGCGACAGAAACATTGGTATGGACTGCTCAGGAGCAGCAATCTTGGCCAGCAGACAGATCTCGTCCAGCGTGCGCCGCTGTATCTCCGGAATAGGATACCAGCTCATCTTGGCGAATGTGTCGCAAGAGTACAGACGATAGCAGATGCCTTCGCGGGTTCGACCAGCTCGGCCAGCTCTCTGCTGGGCATCCGCCTGGGAGATCGGCACTGTGGTCAGCTGCGAAGCGTTCGTTTTGGCGTCATAGATCTTCATCTTGGATTTACCCAAATCGATAACATAGACCAGCTCCGGTATGGTGATGGACGTCTGGCCGATGTTGGTGCTCAGAATGATCGTCAGCTGGATATTCGGGTAATGACGGAATATCTTATTCTGCTCATGGCTCTCCACCTGGCTGTGCAACAGAAGTACTTGTACTTTGTCCATCGGAAGTGAGTAGCACAGGCACTCCATCAACGTGGTCATATCATTGTAGCCGGGAAGGTACACAATTACCGCTCCCCTCACGCCCGTATTCACAAGGAGTTCCAGCAAGGAGAGAATCAGGTCGTTGTCAATTTCACTCTCCATGTGTCGCGTGAGGCTGTAGGCATGCAGCAGTTCGTGCTCTGTCGCGGTATCAACCTTGTTGCCCAATACGTCTTTCATGCCTTCGGTCATGTAGCCAGTCTCGCGGAGAATGTGCTCCATCTGAAAGATGCGCACTCCGAAGCTGCGTCCCTCTACATCCAGGACGGGCACATTGCCAAAGTATGCGGACAACGCATTTAGGTCCATGGTGGCCGACATTAGAATCACCCTAAGATAGGGATTTCGTCTGAGCTCCAGCTTGATGACTAGCAGCAGAAAGTCCGTGTCCAGGTCACGCTCGTGCACCTCATCGATAATCAAGTGTGTGACGCTCTGAAAGAAGGCCTGGGTATCCATGGTCAGGGCCCGCAACAGGCAGCCGCTGGTGGTCAGCGTGAGAACAGTGTGGCTGGTGCAATTGCCTGCAAACAATCGAACGGCATTAGCATCATCGGCATCTATTACAGTAGTCGTTGCACTTACTGTTCATGCGGATCTGATAGCCAACTATGATGCCTGGCATCTCGCCCCGCTCCCTCGAGATTCTCTCCGAGACGCTGATGGCCGCGATACGACGCGGCTGGCTCACCACGACACGCACGGGGTAGTTATGGTATGCAGCCGACTCAAGCACATATTGTGGCACCTGCGTTGACTTGCCGGAGCCGGTGGCACCCTTGATAATGAGAACCTTTGGACAAGTGGAGGACAAGCGTCAGGCGTTACCCCTGTGTGTTCAAGACTTGGCTTCAGACTCACCTGGAAACGCTGCAGAGTGTCCTGAATTATTGAGCGGTAGCCATAAATAGGTAGATTCATGCGTTCTTGAATCATCGGATTGTTTGTGTATGCCGGGTGTGGGGGTATTTTTCGGAGGCCCACTAATCCGAAGCTTTCTCGGTCCCCGTCTTGCTTTGCCTGCGGACCATTTCCTCTGATTGCCGCCAAACACATCGCACGCTCAATTTTGGCCACTGACGATGATAGGATTCGGGTTACTCTAGAGCTAACCATCAGCACGGGGGCGTCGAGGCGAAGGTGTAGACACGAGCCCGGAGCCCGACTGATGCAAAGAACTCGGCTGTGAGCTGGCCCATGGCTGATGTAGTTCAGTCCCAAAGCCTGGGCACAGCCGGCAATGTGGCTGCGCAGTTCCTCGGTCAAGCAGTCCAGCTGGAACTCCACTTGGTTGGAGTCCAGGAAGTCTGCAAGCTTATGCTGTAAGATATCCATCTTTGTGAGTGGGAGGTCAACAATCTTAATACTATTTGCGGATAAGCCCGATGCTGGTTGCTGTGAACGCTTTCCACAAGCTGCTGTAGGTCCCTTTTTTCCTTTTTTATTTTTATTCTTCTTACGCTTTTTCGATTTTTTAATATTATTGTTGTCTGCCATCTGCTTACTGAATGTCACAAATATTTATTTTGTTATACTTTTGACTTGACTGATGAAAAACGACTAACTTAACCCACTTTACGCCCCTTTACTTAAAACTTGAGTTAGCCCCCGAAAAATAATTCTGTATTTAAATTCTTCTTGTAAATCCATTATTTCTCGTTACTTAATACAAAACGAAACCATATCTCTAATCTGAACTGCGCTAATATTCTTCAAATTTGATTCTTTTCGTGGAGTATATTTTACTACCCACTAGCCACAATGGGTTAAGAGATATCTGTCCATTCCGCGATTTTCATATTCGATATAATATTACTAGCTTAGATATTCAGCCTTGAAACCCTAGTTATGATTCGTGAAAAATTGGCTGATATTAAGTTTTATTCACAGATTGGCACTTTTTAACCTATTTATGCATTTAATTATAGGATCTTTTAGGAAATATTTTTATTTAATAATTAAACGTATTTTTTCTTTGAAAATCACAATAAAAAAGCTGTTAAAAAATGGAAATTTGACTGAATATTGGCCAAATCCAGAGAAGCATTCCCGCTGATACATCATCCACTTCCAATTATCATCCAATTACATACATTTAACAGCGAAATTTAAATAAGTTTGATTAAAAAAAAATATAAACTTTATTTCGCTTTAACAGGTTTCTCTTCCTCGCTGTCTTCTTCGTTAGAATCAACCTCTGATTCATCTTCACCGTCCTCGTCATCGTCATCGTCATCATCATCGTCGTAATCATCCTCATCGCCCTCTTCGGCTAGGTTCAGTTGCTTAATTTTGTCCAGCAGCTCGGCGCGAGTGTGGGCCACACGTTTCGCCTTTTCCTCGATCTCCTGCGTCTCCTCGTCCTTCTCAGTGGGCTCTTGCTTTTTGCCCTTGGCCATGTAGCGCACGAAGGCGCGACGTTTGCGCTCTGAGAATGATTTGACCAAACGGTCCATTTCCACCTGCAACTGTTGCTCTTCCTGTGGCGTTGGCTCGGGCGCCTCTATGGCCACCTCGTCGGCGGTCTTCAGGCACTTGGCGCAGGCGTGCGCCTTGATGGCGCACTCCCGACAGATGACATGGTAGGCCTTCTTCACCGTCCTCTCCTTACAATGGCTGCAGGTCTTCGCCTGGGTGAGCGGCTTGTACTTCTTGTATTTGATCTTCCACTCGATCACCTCCTTGCAGCGTTGGCAGACCGTCGAGACATGCATGGCGTTGAGGCGCATCTGTTGCGGCGTCTTGTCGTGCAGATCATTCTTGAATACAAAACGATTTTTGTGTTTCTGTGCACGTGTGCGGTTGACGTTACCGCGTTGGGAACTCATTCTGCTATTGCAGGCAACTGAAAGGGGTATCGTTGATAATAACAGATGCGACACACGGCGATGATTGGTGGTTTTAGTTTTACCTGTTACAACTATTGCAATTCAATGAGTGACAGCCAAAAAAAAAGGTTTCCAAAATCCAAAATAAATAAAAGGAGGGCAGTGTGACCGCGGACGTATCGATAAAATATGCCGTCCGACCCTCAGAAATATACCAAAATATACCGCCTCATTTTCAAAATATACCTTAAATATACTGACGAACTCAAGTTCTACTATACATATTCCTCGTTTTCTTTCTTCCGTTGAATATTACTAGCTATATAGAGCATTTAGCCGTGCCCACATAATTTTAGCCCATTGATGAATCAATTTTCTACTTAACTGGCTTATTTTAAACACTTGCTTTTATTTTATTTTGGCAAAAACAAGGCAATAACAAAGTAGTTCCACAAAAAAAACAGTCGCAATGTTGTTGGTATTTAAAGACATGATGCGTGTATAGGCCTTTGTGCACCCTATTTCGTTAATTTTATACAAAGATCATACTTAATTTATGAAGACTTTTTCTCAAATTGATATTCTTTAGACATATTCGAGTACATTATTAGTATCTTGTGTATATTCATCTCGATCCTGATACCTACGGAGTCTTGGAAGACAAACGTATTCACAATTCTATAACATCCATTTGCCCCAGGGTATGTGTGCATGGAGCTAGCAACATTTGTGTATGGAATGGGACTCATTGTTGCAATAGCGAAACTACGGCGAATCGGGTATTGCCTATATTTCAAGCTATATAGATTTGCCCACTTAGGATTATTCCATAGATAAATGCATTTTCTACAAGATTGCTTCTTTTAATTACCTTTATGTATTTTATTTTGACCAAAAAACGGTTTTCAAGTAAATGTTGCCGCAACTTTTGTGTATGGAATGCGCAACATTTGTGTATGGAATGAGACTCATTGTTGCCAAAGCGAATTGCGGCGAACTGCGGCGAACTGCGGCGAATTCAACTTCGATTCAAAAAAACGACCAATTCTTTTTTGTTCCGATAATACTATCTATATATTTAGCCATGCCCACATAACTTTATCCGATTATTGATCAATTTCCTACGAGACTGTTTAATTTTAAGCTCTCTTCTGTATTGGATTGTTTATAAAATAAGGTTTAAGCAAACAAATATCCAATAAATTAATTTCTTTACATGGTAACTACTGTCAACTACACATTTTCTACATATTTACTGCATTTTCATGTAATTACCAAAGGCGACACCTGAAGGGAAATTGTGTATGTTTAAAAATTGTTTGTCCGTTTTTTTTTCATATAAGCCTTGGAAGCGCGAGTGTAAAAAACGACCGCTGTCCACTTTTTGACATTTTTAAAATAATTGAGATTTTGCCTGAGAAGGCCTGGGACATGGCTCTAAATGGCATTTCTACGCGATTTCTAAATTAGTGCATTGGCCAAGAGTCCATAACGCGTCTTAAAATATACTGGAAAATACTGTGAAAAGTAGAAAATTTGCAGGGTATGTAAGCTAAACATGGTGGCAGTGTGACCGCGGATATCCTACATACCAAAAGGGCTACTCAAACGGAAATTTGCCCGCTCACTGTGATGAGCTGAGTGATATGAAACTTAGCAACGCGTTTTATTTCAGGGTGGTCAGTCCTCATCGCTGTGGAACTCACCTTGCTCACCGATAGTCAATTGGCGGTTAACTTATCGAAATTTGTTTTTTTGTTTACGTTTTATTTCACGCATTGCTATGGATATTAATTATAATTACTTATGCTTGATACATTGCTTGATTAAATCACTAATAATGCATTCTGGCACTCTTTCATTTCAGATTTGAGTGAACCGACTTGTCCCATGTTGCCATGCGCGACCTCAAACAGCGGCTCTTCGACCTTCTACGCTCCGGCGGCAACAATAACAACAACAATAACAACAACAATAGCCACAACAACAACAGCGTTGGCTGCAACCAAAACAACCAAAATGGCATTCCCCACATTCAGCACACCATTCAGCAGCTGCCGGCCGCCCAAAAACCGAAGAAGCTTCATGAGTACACGGCCGCTGACTGCAATGCGGCCTTTCTGCGCAAGTACCATGACCTCAGCATTAGCAGGGGTATGGGTCTGGAGCTGAACGGAAGGGAACGGGAGAGGGGCGCGAGAGATAGAGGACGCGAAAAAGACAGGGACAGAGAGAGGGAGCTGGAGTGGGAGAGGGAGAGGGAGCGACAGCTGCCCCACGGAGGAGCCAATGTGATCTATTTCAATGAGAACCTGTCGATGGCCAGCAAGTACAATGTGCGTCAGTTTCCCCTGACCCGATACCCCTCCTGTCCCCTGAGCAGCTTTGGTCTTCCGCCCTCCCCCCATGACGGCCATGAGGGCCATGAAGGCCATGCAGGTCTTGAAGGCCATCAGGGCAGCGCCGGCAGCAGCCTAGGCGAGGAGGAGGAGGAAGAGGAGGAGGACACGGAGAGCGAGAGGTACAACTTCTGTTCGGATGAGGACCAGAGCAGCAACACGCAAACCCTCAAGATTCGTCACAGCCACGACATGGACTTGGACGCCGATGGAGATGTGGAAGGGGATGGGGATGTGGACGTTGAGGACGACCGGGCCGAGTCCCAGTTGGACTCCTTCTGCACGCTCTGCACCTCGACCTTCAGCTACAACAAGTGCTGTCGCTTCTGCGAGAACTCCCTCTGCGGCTCCAAATGCAACTCGGAGCGGGGCTCCCATGCAAGCCGGATCAGTCGGAATGGTGGCTACCCCCAGGCCGAGGCGGAGACGGATCTCGAGCAGCACCATCAGCAACAGCAGCAACAGCAACAGCAACAGCATCAGCTGCTCCAGCAGCATCGATTTGGGGGCAGCTCGAGGATGCTCTCCAGCTATCAGCCGACCGCTCTCAGGTGAGTCCATTGCGATAATTAAGTGTCCCCCCCTGCTAATCGAACGGCCAAAGAGCAGGGTCAAAGTTCGCGTGGCACATTGTAAAGCGGCAGCTAATCAATCGGCGGTCAAATGCAGTTGGCCGCCAATCAGCTCTTGCCTCATTAGTGGCAAAGCAATCGAACGATCGAACGATCGACCGATCGGGGGGCACCACTCGCTGACGAAGTTTGTTTTCATAATTCTATTAAATTGCATTGTCCATTGTCGTTGCGGCTAATTAGCTGTAAACTTTTGATTGATTGCATTTAAATGGGCTTTTGCAATGCCGCCTCTGCAGAGGAGTCTCTGTGGAGACTCTTCGGAGGGGTGGACCGACAGAGAGAGAGAGAGAGGTAGAGAGCAACGGCTCAAACAATTATGCATAAAACCTTAAACTGGCCATAAACAACCGTTAGCAGATGGGAAGATGAGGCCCCATCTAACGCTGCTAACGCGCATGACGCCGCCAGCTTGACCATAAAAAAGCATAAATTCTATTGAATACAACGAAGTAAAACAACAAAAAGATGGATTCAATCCGTCCACGATGCCAGAGTCTTGTCGAAGTGGGAATGCCCTTCCAGTTCGGGTTTTTCCTAGGGATTTCAAGTCGGGGATAATACCATAGTGGCTCTCGTTCGCAGCTAAGAATAATGTGCAGTAATTACAAAAATTATAGTATTTAATGGTAATTCGAAAGTGTTTTATAGGGTGTTTTATATTTTGGGGGTACAATGTATATATCTTCTTTGGCTTCCTTTTTGCCTTATATACATATATATATGTATATATTTGTATATGAATTATGGGATAGTTTCGAGCATGAGTACCTTTTATGTCTCCCAGAATCATTCTATGCCCATCCTCCATACAGTCATGGAAAAAATAATAGAAACGGGAAACAAATTGGGTTTCAATGAAATCTTCAAAAGTAAAGATAAATTTGGACTTCGAAAATGGCATCGTAACCAGCATAGCCTTGGGGGGAAGGGTATATAGAAATTCCAGCACACTGAAAATACAAAAAGGCGAGCAAGAAAAAAGTCTAGCAATGTGCAAAAAGCGCATCGAAAATCAACTGAAGACAAACCACAGCCACAGCCGCAGCCGCAGCCACACACGAGCACACACACGAGCACTCACACGAGCACACACACGCGCCTGCTGCTGCTGCTGCTGCGGCTGCCGCTGCGGCTGCATACCCGACTGAGCTTGTGTTTACATCCAACAGAAACAACAACAAGTCCGGAGAGCTTTCTCGATCGGCACTTCTTTGGGGTCCGCTGCTTTTGGCTCTTACATTTCTTTGGCGACCGCTGGCCGCGCTGGTCTGCAACACCAAGCCAACCACCGGCCTCAAACAAGCCGCGACCATTGTCCGCCTAGCACGTGCCGCGCTCCACAAACCGCCGCCACCGTCACCGCCACCGCCGGCGCCGCTCACCGCTCGCTCGGTATCGCCAGATATAAAACTCATCTCTATAGCTAGAGAAAGAACAAAATGCAGCACCAGCTCTGATAAGAACTGCACTATTTGTTTATTTTTTTGTTTACCTACATATTTGTTTGCTTGTTTGTTTGTTTGTTTGTTTGGAGTTGTTTGTGTAACTCTGGTGATATGATATGATTCTTCGACTTCAAAGACTGTGCCAGTGCTTTAGGGTGTGACTGTTAGTGACTATTTGTGAGAGAAATATAACTGGAAAGAAGCTGCGACTATTCCATTTCCAACTGGAAATTCCAACTCGAAATGGTGTGCGGTAAGTTCCCTCTGGAGACTAGGATATTGCATTTAAATCTGAATTATTGCTAAATTGCTTCAAGGCAGTGCACTGCCGAGCCTCTTCTCATGAAGAACATGTGGCTTAATCGATCCTATCACTAAGATTTTGGTTAATAAACAGACAAAGATCATAGGATGAGGAATGGTATCTTATCATAAAGAAGTCTGCCATTAAAGCAGGACCCTAATAGCTTGTAAGGATTCCTATCAACACCAAAGTCTGGAAGATGGATCCATCATCCATCTTGAAAGTGTATTCAGAAATATGTATTTGTATTTTGGAGAACTTTTTGCAGCATCGAAATTCTTCCATGCCCCAGGCCAATGGAAAATGTGTTTAAGCTTCAAAGTGGGGAGACACAGCACACAGATAGAGAT